GCACACCCTCGCCTCCATCAGGAGGATTTAACACCGCTCTCTGTTATTCCATTCATAAAGATCGCAGCGTAATCACAAAGTCAGCTCCTTCATCATGCTGCCCCCCTTGGAGACTGATTGAGGGCACGGTGAGGGTCCGACCGCCTCAGGGATAATCAGTGAGGAGTTCAGATGATAATAGATTTGATCTCAGGGACTGAAGCCTCAGTTCCAAAATCCTGTGGTCATGTAGATAAAGAAGCATTTTTACATGAATGATCAGTGAAATGTGTTGGTTGTTATTGCTCGGTATGTATATGAAGTTGTTTTAGTATTATTCCTTTTTTCATTGGCCAATTTAGAAAATGGCAGTACTATAGTCAAAAACAATTGTTAGTCTCAAAAAGCATACAAAATATGAAAAAAGTAAATAACACAATAAATACATTAAATAGAACATTTAACCAAAAAATAAATAAGAATGAAGGGATCCCCATCATTACTGTTTTTTAAAAATAAAAATCTTCATGTTTCAGTACATATAGTTTGTTTTAATTGGAAATATACACACATATATATATATATACACACATATATATACACACACACACACACATACAGTATATATACATACACAGTACACGAGAGGCTGGAAAACATAATCTTCTGCCATTTCTTCATTAAGAAAATAATTTTTAATATTTATTGATAATCGTTATAGCAGCCAATTACAGGATATATAATTGTTGTCTTCTCTGGAGGGATTATTAACTTTTATTGATTAACTTATTAATACTTAAAAGAGTGTTAAACTCATCCATCATTAGACTGTGTTAACTTAGCCCTTAGCTCCAATCCCCGCACTAAGTAGAGCTGATAGGAATGTCATTAGTTTTGCATGAATTTAATCTAATAAAAAGCACTGGGAAAATTAAAATGTAGTCGGGGGAAGACTAAAGTTATTACAATTAATCTTGAGGGGGGAAGTGAACGTGTTAACCATATTTTATGACACATTATCCAACAGCTATGGAAGTATTTTTCCTAAAAGTCAAACATCTCTTGGTCCACTAGAGGAAAAGTCTGCATGACTCATGTGGAAAATATAGATTTTTGTATACCATTTTTTATAAATTAAGCATTAATTCCCACTGTTGTGGCAATACAGCACTCACAACAGGAAATAATGAAACAGAGAGGAATCAATAAAACACAGATATAGTTGATCAGTAATTATTATTTAGAAACAAACAACAATGGGGAGTACATCACCTGCTGCCACAGCAGCCAATCGCGGAAATGCCCCCCAACAGTAGCAACAATCATACAGCATATATAGCCACTGCAATGAACACACACATTTTATCACGCAGCCTACCACACAAATGTCACATGTTTTTCTCTCTGAAAGCCATACTTGTATATGTTGAAAAGTCATCATCTCATGACATCCTTAGGAGTAGTAAACTAACAAAGGTTAACTATTTTTATTACCTGAGGCCTTCTCTGAACTTCCTCTAACCGCGTGTCAGCTCACTTAAAGGTGACCTATCATGCAAAATGCACTTTTGTACGTCTTTTCTACATGAATATGTGTCCCCGGTGTTCCAGGGAACTCACCAAGTGTCAGAAAACACAACCCTCTCTATTTTCCTCCATACCCAAATCTCTTAAAAAGGGGCTGCAACGGATCTGATACAGACTGATCCAGATTTGAACACTTCTCTGACGTCATAGAAGTGGCGCTACGGCTATTGGGCCAACTCCACCAATCAGGAGGAGACAGCCACGGACATTGCCGTTCGAAAGCGCTGGAGACGCTGTAGTACATATGCCAGGCCTGTAGATGGTGCTGTTCTCACAGAATCAGCCCATGCAAAGACAGTGTTGAATTGAGCGAAATGAGGAATGGCTAAAATGCATGATCTGTTTGGTATTTTCAAAAATAAAAAGTATAAATATGCCGTTATATAGGTATGGTCCTACACTATATTCAAATATAGCATGATAGGTCCACTTTAAACATCAGA